CCAGATTGTTGTCAGCAGTCCCCACAATAACAGGATGTTAACCTCTCTCCAACCGGAGGAACCACTCTTCAAAAGCCATTTTTATGCCTGAGCTCTCCATCGCCCACATCGTAGGAAAGCGATTTGTGGCCTGCAACTTTCTTCCACATGACCTGTTTGCCAGTGGATCAGTAACGGTGTGGGGTGGTATTTCTTTGGAGGGCTGCACAGCCCTCCAGATGCTCACCAGAGGTAACATGACTGCCATTTGGTACTGAGATGAGATCCTCAGACCTCTTGTGAGACCATACCCTGGTGTGGTTGGCCCCTGGGTTCCTCCTAATGCAGGTCATGTGGCTGGAGTGTATCAGATGGAGGCACGCTATGGACTGGCCCACCCGTTCCCTAGAGTCCAATTGAGCACATCTGGGTCATCATGTCTCGATCCATCCAACAACGTCACAGTGCACCATAGATGGTTCAAGAATTGGTGGATGCCTTAGTCCATGTCTGGGAGGAGATCCCTTAGGAGACCATCTTCCACCTCATCAGTAGCAGGCCCAGGCATTGTAGGGAGCTCATACAGGCATGTGGAGGTCACACACAATACTTAGCCTCATTTTGACCTGTTTTAAGGACATTACTGTACATGCAAGGTCTTAATCTTTCCACTGACTCCAAATCCAGGCCTCCATTGGTTAGTAAGTTTGAGTACCTTTGGTGATTTTTGTGTGATTTTGTTGTCAGCACATTCAGCATTGAACATAACAGAATATTCAAGAATATTTCATACATTTAGATCTAGGATGTTTAGCCTATCTTAATGTGCCAAAGATTTGCATATCAGTCACTGTAACCACACCCTGTTTTTCCCAAGCTGTCAGCTATGACAGAACACCACTTTCTTACTAGACACACTTATTTTACCAGTGCTAACAGTGTAACTTTGAATTAAACTAATTAATGATTCAATCTGACTAACTTTTGATTAATTCATACAAACAGTCACTGCATTATTACACTACAAAAGGGTAACCAATTAAAAATCAGCGGGGTTCAAATAAGGAAAATAATCAACCAGTAAGGGCCCGGAGACTATTTTAATTGTAATCTGTTACTTTAAACAGAATTGAAGCAGGTTGGTCTGCACTTCAATATACATGTTCCTCACATTGTAATGAAATAAATGAAATTTTCTTCTGTCCAACTGGTGAGGGAGCAGAGTCCAGGTGAGCATGTGCAATATCATTGTAATCAAGATAGCGAGAGACTGTTGTTGCAACTGGCTAGCCTCCCCTATATGCATTTGAAAGTGGAGTTATTTTGAAACGGTGTAAATTCCTCTTTGAATGGCTGTTAGGCCATTTGAAAGGTATAAATGTTCTCTTTGCTTCGCCTGAGGTCATTGAAAGAGTTAGATACTGCAAGTAAGGTACCACCAAAAAATGACTCACATAATCCTCCAATTAAAATTGAATGTATTCCTTTGAGGCGATTAAAGTTTATTTTGCTACAAAATGATAATAACATCTTATGCTTGTTAATAGATTCCAGTGTTGCATAAAGATAGCTCATTAAACTTTCCCTTTCCTTTTTAGGACATTACATAGAGAACACAATCATTCCCAATCAAACACACAGTCGTTCTGATAAAATAAATCCTTTAGCACAACAGTCCTTTTACTGTTGTGTGTATATATATATATATATATATATATATATATATATATATATATATATATATATATATATATATATATATATATTATTTTTCTAAGTAAAACAGTTTGGGTTC